GATGGGGATCCAGTCGATAAGAGAGGACTCTGTCCTGTTACTGAGTACAACCCCTACCCAGCTCTGAACTACTGAACGAACGTCATCGTCGCCTGATGTGCAAAGGACGAATCCCGAAGACAAATCTGGCGCGCTCAAGTGGCTTACAGAAGTAGGATCCTGGATTCCAGTTTCCGACACGCAGCAAATGTCGACTCCTAAGGATTTCATTGTACGAGCCAGACAAGCTTGTTAACCTATCTGCATCAGAGTCCTCACGTTGAAGCCTCCCAAATTCAGTGGTTGACGAGGCTTTAGAATTTGCAATTCACTTCGTGGTACAATGCTTACAGTGCTATTTGGCAACGACTTTTGGCGAGCAACATCCAAGTAACCTGAGGGACTATTAGAGGTTTGATGGAGGGGCAGATGGACAGGGTTGGGTACTGAAGACAAAGAAGTAAACAAAAGTTGGGATATATGAGCAGTAGCCCACTTATCACTACCCACCCCGCTTGATGCAATGGACAGCGCGGTCCTGATTATCCTGTGCGACGACCGATGCAGTATGGAATCATTTTCTTTGTGAATGCATTTAAGTTTGATGGACGGGTACTAGGGTGTCCAGCCACTAAACAGGAGAACGATTAGGGTTCTTGTCCAAAGCCTTTAGTTCTAACAAGAACCTAACCGCAAGGCAGCGGGTGAAGCGAAGTGGAGGCCCGTTCACTTGGATCTATTACTCCCCTACCACTTTTTACCGATTGAAACGCAAATTCCAATCGAATCCTCAACCTGGAGGACCAGGAGACTGACCTTCAAGGCATGATTAGATCTCCTGGATTTATAAAGCCATCCTGTGTAGCTCGTTGGTTCATAGAGGTGCACAAGCCATCAAACCACGTCAAGGTGCAGTCTCCTCGTCAGTTTGTTTGTACGGTGAAGGGTTATACACAAATAACGTTGAGTTCAGACATAGTTCAGTTGCTTTCATTATTTCGTCCGCTGTCAAACTCATTCAATCACTGCGAGTGTGGTCGCTGTTAAGATGAATTCTTGCAACTTCCAGACATTCATTGACAGGAATTTGTGTGAACAAGGATACCACATCGTAACTCACTAAGCATTCATCCCATTCAACAGTCAGTGTTCTGAGTTTCTCATTTGAATGAAATACATTCTTGATAAAATGCTCATTACACTTCAAGATAAATTTTGCTACCTTGTTCTTAGGGGTATTCGTGTAGTCAATAATAGGGCGAATAAGAATGTTTGGTTTGTATTTTGGGTAGACCATAAAAGCGGGCTGGACAACAAGTCTTTGGATACAGTTGGAACCGTTGTGCCTTACTCAACTTTGGTTTTAACTCTTGAAGTAGTTCGTCTGTAAGTGCTTGTGTTTTTATGGTAATCGTAGTAATTGTAGTATGTACTGATCACTAAGTACGAACCACGAATTAGAAATCACGGACGAGAAGTAAGCGCTGGATCACACTGGTACTTGCACGACAGTATGCCACGTAACCGAGAGGCGAGGAAAATTCTAAAGGAATGGCAGTTGGTTTGTTGAAGGAAATCAGGGGGATTAAATAATATGTACAAGACGAGTTCATTGGTCATCCAAGCCTCTGCCAATCGCGTGCTAGTATTTCTGGTGTTGTTCAGCTTCTGTCTGGGCCACACAGTTTCTGATTGGTTGGTACAATCGACCTATGGTCTGTAGACCAGAAGCTGTGACACGTACGCAATTTTCTGACATCACCCGGGAAGTTTGATTCATCACAGTTGTTCGAAAACTGTAACGTGTCGATCCGTGGTATGCGTCATCTCGTAGGCTAGGATCACCACAGTTTTGTTCAGGATTGCTCCGTTTCTGTTCCGGTCCAGTCGACAGATGTTCCGATGCCTTTTTTTCTCGTAGTCTGCTCGATTCATGATCACAACTCGATTGTTTTTGTTCAATTTGCTGATAATAACTGAACGACCATTGCGCAAGTTACGAAGAGCCATTCGTCCCCCCCCCTTAACAATTATTTGTAAAATATGAGCAACGGTTTTTCGCAACAACCCTGCTTTACGTCATTCATGGGCTGAGATTGTTAGCGCAATGCAAATCTGGTCGAGACTGTGCTAACTGACCACCAATTTGGCATCAAATGCGGCAACTCCAGGACTCAACCCGGGGGCCAACAATCGTAAGTTCTATTGAGCTAAAAATACAGTTTAAGGATTATCCGACCGTGAAATCAATACTTGTTCTCATTTACGCGTACCCCAATGGAAAATCAATCCACTAAGGTCACCGTAAGAATAGCTACATCAGTAGCTGCAAAAAGGTACACACACATACATACACTGAACTGAGAGGTTGGTCTGAAATCAAGAACGCTCTGATTCACCATTCGTGTTTCATTTTATTATGGGCGACATGCTGAGGTGTTCTAATTGGTCGCTAAAATGCTTATTTGTATGGAAAGATTTCACCTACAGTTGGTTGATGTCGTCTATCTGGAGCATACACTAAGAAAACCTAACGGTATAACAAGCCCCACATCCTTTTCGGTATGCGCTTTGCAACTCCACAGTGCAGTGCTACTTGTAAGTTAAATATTAACTGTCTGTTGGAGTGCGATTGTTTCCCCAAACAGGGCACCGTGAAGAAAAACAGCAGCGGAATCTTCAGAGTTCCATCGGTGTACCATGGACGGAGATATCTGCGGTGATGACATAACATTTCCAGTGATCATGCAGCTAAGACAATCAATTTCGCACCCTGGAGGGCGTGTTCGCATCCCACCACTGGCACCTAACTTCCCCCATTTTTTGTTTGTCAGCCACGTCGTCCATCCTGTGCATTGTTTGTTTCATTTCCTTTAAATATGATAACATTTTTTGAGGAAAATTAAGTTGTCTCATTGGGGGTGCATCTGGTACGGTATTATTATAGAGGCAGCGGAGAAAAATTGCCGAATTCAGGACTATCAACCCCCCCCCCCCGATGCTTGTGCACGGGTAAGATGAGGCGAGTGAGCAGCAGAACTTAAACCTTTTTTTGTTGCCACAATTAATTCACGGGCACATACATTGCCTGTGTCGTGTTTTGCCAGCGTCTAGCTCATCCGGGGGAAACGAAACACAGAGGTCAACAAATGGTGCGCAGTGGAAGTACGACGAGTTAGATGAATGTGGAGATTAGACAGAATTACATTTCCTCGACTGAGAATGGAAAGGTTCCAAAATTCATGGGGTATCGGGATAATAATAAAGTGCGTGACCCAGAATGGAAGGTAGTTGTCATTGTGATATCACTAATAAGTATATCGATTACCCGATGGGATTCTGAACGAACCAGTATTTCTAAGGATAGGAACTCTGACAAGCATAACCTAGAATCGAAAAAACCGGCATTCAAACACTTGTAGTCCACAAGAACCCTGTCGCGTCGCATGAAGTATCTCGTAGAAGACGCCAGAACAGTCCCATCCTAACCTTGTTTAATTTGTGCCTTGGTTTTTTCACTTCCAATCATACATTAGCTACCACAATAGCATCGAATGCGGACTTCCTGGAGAATTCTCACTCGTATTCAGAGACGAAAGAGCATTTGCTATCATCAATACCACGGAAAAATTCTTGTCCACCAACTGATTCAAGTGTGAACACTGCGGCATCCCCGAAACCGCCTGCCGTGGTGCGTCAAAGCGGTAAGTCGAATCGACAAACAGTGCACGTGTAAATCCCTTTGTTAAAATGAGTGCCTTGATTGGATGCAATCAACCAGAGTGACGTGGTTGTAAATAAGGAAAATTTTCTTGCAGCAGGTTATTAACCAGGAGACAATAGGCTCTTACTGGCATGTGAATCACAGCAATTGCCACTTTGATCAAGACTCAGGTTGAAAACGACTGAACCGAAGAGAATTCTCATCAACTAACCACTTGATTTTCCCCTTCAGTTATGGACTACGAAACGTTTCTGCGACAAACAGCCCCAACCGAATCCAGTGATGCAACCCAATCGGAAGCGCGTGAAATCGAAGAGGACGAGGTTCGGTTTGACATACAGAACCGTCTAAAGAATAAAGGACATACTATCATTCCCACTGGTACGTGTATTGACTACAAGCTGATGCATCATTAACACAACACACATGCATGGTCAACACTTCCTACATATCCATTTCTGTTTCAGATCTACAACCCGGTAACACCCTTCCAACCGCAACATCCCAATCGAAAGCAGACAGGAACTGGAACGAGGGAGATAACGAAGAAGATAGTTTCTATGATTGAGTGTTTCGTGCTGCGAATGACCAATAAATATTTAGTTGACCATCATGGTCCTGCCGCTGATTATGCAATTGGGTTTTATTCTTTCAGTGCGAGTCTTTCATAGGTGATAGACCTGAAGTAAGGGGCTGTTGTGGTATGTAAAAGAAGCAAAATAGTGAGAANGAATTCCCGACCACTGGCCATAGATGAAAGAAGGCAGTGTGTAAGAAAGTATGTGTAATTGTGCAGGTAATGAAACAGGCGCATTGGACAAAAGTTATCGGAAAAGAGATAGCGAGAGAGGAAATCGAGGAGATTCAAAACCAATGACTTGGCAAAGATAATTCCCAAGAAAAAGAAAGGCATCAGGAGAAATCGTATAATTTGAGTGCAGAGATGGGTCTAAGATCGTAGTGGAAAAGTTGTAGTCAACGACATCGAAGCTAGGGATAGTAAAGTGGAAAGAATATACCAGTAAAAGACTTCGCACACGGGGACTAGTCACGGGGCACGGAGCGACTGATTCGTGAACCGCATGCTCGACTACCATCAGTATCGCGACTAGCATAACGATTACGGGAAGTTCGTGGGATCGGTGACGGGGACGGTCGAGTTAAAGATGGACTTCGGTTGCTTCGCGTAGCTGGACGCGAACGTGTAACCGGTGGTGGTGCACACATTTCACTTTGATTGCGCTGGATGGGATCGGCATTAGATGTTGAACACACCGGTCTAGGCGAGTCAGTGCTGAGTGAAAGACGAGAGGTAGCTTGAAAAATGTCCTCACCAAGGGTCAGATTGCCTGAGGAAGCAGCAGATATACCTGGATTATCCTGTGTATGCGGCGATCGTGCAACACTGCTGGAAGCCCCGCTATTAATCTCAACCGGTTTGAGCTCAATTGCCGAGAGTTTAATACCAGCAATGCCTTTCTTCTCGCAGTCTTTCAAGTCCCGTTTGATGCGACGTTTGCGGCCGGAGTTGTCCTTCCTTTTCTGTGATTAAGAGGGAACAAAGTTTTTTTATTGTTGATGGTGGCGGATTTCAATAGACAAACAACAAAAGTACAGATAAAAAAGTCAAAATGTTGCACAAAAAAGCGATTCTTTTATTTTCAGTACAAAGAGAGTAGAAACGATTGGGGCGGAGTTCGCTATCACAATACCTGAAAGTGAAGATATCTGTTGGTTGGCTACACATAGATCTCTAACCGCTACACTGATTGAAGTAGTCGCTAAGGAAAAAGGATGGGATGCAACTGTGATGCTCGCACATAAATTCCACCATGTCCTTGAAAATACTGTGGGTTGTTGACGACTTGACTGTCGGTTAGTGAAACCCATTGTGCTTGTCTGAAAGATAATAGCCCATGCAACCTTTAACCTTGTTCCTTCATGCAGTAGTTATTGTGGCTACCCAGTTAAACGGATAAATTCAAAAAAGTAGAAAGTTAGAAGCAAGTCTATAAGATAACAACAGGATGAATCTGAACTGAATTTGCGAAGAAATTGGGCAGATGTGCGCACGCCAATGTTTACGACACTTGGTCATGTCACTTAGTTTCTCAAAGATTCGATTGGCCATGAGCTCCATAACCGGGAGGCCTAACGCTGTCTACATGTTCAAGTCCCTTGATCAGCCAGTGTAATGTACGAAGCTCAAGTACTTGTTCTGGTTGACAGTCGTGATTAAGTAAGACTCCTCTGGGTTAGTTTGAGTTATTAAACGCAAATTAAACCTTCCAATAAAGACGAGGTTCAGTAAAACTGTGTCCGTTAATCCATACTACACTGTTGAGTGTTGATCAATACACCGTAGGGCTTCTTAGTTACCTCATATCCAATTACATGGGTGGGTATTCCTGGCTGAGCGGAAGAGATTACAGTCAACAACAGCTTAGATTTCGCGATCATTCCACAGGCTATGACCCGAGTTTTGTGAATTTAACCACCAACTTTTGCCTCCAGTGAACAAACACGCTAGATGGAAGTAGGGAATCTCGGGCGTCTATCCGACAATGAGAAGCCGTTGTCATTCAACATGAAAATCTCCCATTGTCGAGATAGATTCCGTCTACCAGAAACAATCACAAAAACTGCCACAAACAATAAACTTGTCAAAAGGGGAAAAAACTGGCAACTTGCGCGCACGAATGCAAAATGACCATCAAAAGATACGAAGCGCTTTCAAACATCTCGATTCACGACGACGAGGGAAACAATTCCGATTTGAAAAGATCCAAGTCCTCGATCAGACCCGCACCAAGCACGCCAGAAAATTTCTGAAAGCTTTGCATTCACAGAAAAACAGGAACAACCGACACATCGAAGCTGATTAAGTCTACTATCCCCTGCTGCTATACGGTGCAAAAATTTGGCCATCAAGAAAACAGGATGAAGACAGATTGCCAGTGTTCGGACAGCGCTGTTTATGCCGCACTGCACGAGCTTGATGGGGAAACCGGACAAGTAAGGCTGAGGCTAGGCGAAGAGTATTAGGTAACCACAGTGGCACAACAGAGCAAGTGGTTGGCCTCCATAGACCACCTTGGTTGGGGCATGTGTAACGCATGTCACCAAATAGGTTGCCACGGTGCACATCATTTGTCGAGGCAGGTGATGGGTGGAAAAATTACAATATTGCAGAACTAAGTGCTTGGGTTTTTGATCCATGATCTTGTGCACAAGTGACCAGCCATTCTTGAATACCGTATTTTGTGAGTTGAATCATCCCTCTTTCTTCAATCTAAATCGTTTCTTTTGAATAGTTTAGAGTTTAGTTTGCAAACCATTACCATGCACCTTCGTTCGCCGGTTTTGGTTGCACATGGATGAACAGTAGAGAGACAGGAAAGTTGAAAGTAGAGTCGAACAGAAAATGGAAAATTTCAGTGGACTAAGGTTGCAAAGAAATTGAGATGCATGAATGCCACCCAGTGTCTCTATAAGTTCGGATCATTCCGAGGTCCCCGTCCAGGGAACCTAACAGAACCTATGTGACCCAGTTTCCTGGTTAGGGTTTTCATACCATCATTCCAAGTCTTAGCTTGAACATCCTTGGCTTTGTTCCACCCACTGCCTGCCTCGGCAAACATCGCTCACCGTGCCAACCTATCTGATGACATGCATAGCACATGTCCCAACCAACGTAATCTATGGAGGTCGAGTACCTGTTCCAATGGACGACCGCGATTACCTAGAACTCTACGCCTAACCTCAGCATTGCTCGCCCGGCTGCCCCACCAGATTCGTGCAATGCTGCATAGATATCAGTGTTCAAACACCGACAGTCTATTTGCGTCCTGTTATCTTAGTGGCCAAGTTTCTGCTCCATATAGCAGGGCTGACCGAACCGCCGCAGCAAACAGCCGACCCTTCACAGCCAACTGGCACCAGATGTCTCAAGTTGGCAAATGACAATGGAGCCTTTGTATGCCCGCCAACGCTTCATCTGTCATGCGTCCGCCAGGTGAGACGTAAATGCCCAAATAACAAAACATATCCACTTGCTCTATTACTTCCCCAGTTAGAGTAAGAGTGCGTGATGGACCAACCCAGTCTTAAAATAACATTTTACAATTTGAAGATGCAAAACGCATACGGAACATGGCTACGCTGGCGCTCAAGCTATCCAGAAAAGCTTGAAACTTACCTGGGTCTTCACTTATCAGCACAATGTTGTCTGCATACTCTAGATCGGAGTCTGTCATTTGCAAGTAAATCGATGCTACTATCCTTGTACGAGGATAGGACTGTTTCCATAATCAAATCTATAACAAAGTTAAATAGTAAAGAAGCGAGAGGGGGACCCTTAAACGCCGACGGAAACAGAATTAATGCACTATTCCTGATTTGAATACTGCTCAGGAACGGAACACAAAAAATTGGAACTAATAGTCTATGAAATCGAAGTTACCACAGAGAATTGTGGAATCGCACATGAACAGCAAATAGGAATGAAAGTGTTTGATATGCGATAATGGTGGATTTTCATTATGTACTTGAATATTCATTTGAATAATCAACCAATTTAGCCGTGACGATTTCAAGTTCAGTAGGATTATATTCAATCATACCTGTGTCATATGCACAAAGTCGATAGTATATATGTAACCAGCGACTTGCACTTCACATGAAGGTAAATTCTTTGAGAACGCGGATTCCAATTCTTCAGATGTGCGGTCCTCATACTGCCACCAACCGGCAAAGCCCTCGTAAAACCAACGATAGTCCGATGCTGAAGGTGTCGGTAGAACAGTGACCGGCACTGTTGGATTCTGAGTTGGTAGGGATCCACTGAGCGAAATAGGTGAGGAATTTGAGGAACCAGAGGGCTCAAGCGCAGTATTCAGGTCGGAACCTTTAGGGACTAAGAACGAGAACAAGAAGTTTAATATGCTGCTAGGAAGAATACACGATTGGGGCAAGAAGAACTCGGAAACTGTTATGTATCGAGCACATATGGTGCACACAGTGCCATGAGGAAGCATGGATTATTAGAACAATGCAATTGGAGCGAATAGAGAATCTTAATTTGCTCTCCGGGTTTCAGCATACAGAGCAAGATACTTTTCCTCTTATACATCCTATGTGGAATAGGATTATAGCAACATATACAACAATGACACCATTGATTTCGGGCCAAACCTAATGGGATTTAGTGAGAAACTTTTTTTGCAAAAGTTGGTTTAATTCAGAAAGCAATAGGTGGTGAAACAAATGGATAGCAGGAGTACTCGAAACGAAACGTTGTAATAACAGCGTGAGGCAGCTAATTGCAACTGCGAGGATTCACCCCATTGAATAATAATATAATACAATCAGGTAGAAAACCCGAGTTTACTTCTGATACTGGTTTTAGACAAAAACGTCTAATATTAGATGAAATATTAATCCCACAATGATTAATTAGTATCCTACAGCTGCCAAATTCGCAATGCATGCTAAGTAAGCAAGATTGGGCAAGGGGCTTAGTGA